TCAGTAATTTGTGATTTTTATGCAGATATGTTCAGGAAAGTTTGTTTTAACTGTCAAGTGTTGAAAACAACACTTAACAAACAGTTTAGAAAAACTACAACAAAAAAAAATCAGGTTTATGTGTCAAAGGAATCAAGAGTGTTTTATTAGTTGTAAATGGGACTATGACTGTATTAGTTGTAAATATGGTTGATCATTTCTGCCACAGTTTGTAAATGTTCCAGGAAATCTCTTGTCTTCCTTGTTTTACTGTCTAGTTATGTTTAACAATGTTCCTCGTGGCACTTTTTGAGTCCAGGACTCTCTATTGAGTTCTACAATAAAAAACAATCCTCTCTACTTCCTCTGTCGCATCAGCTCTGTTCTGTCTCCACATGCACGTCACTGATAATGAGGCTCATCATCAGGATGAAGAGTTCAGTTTCTTCCTCACCTCATGTTTGGGATTTGAAATAGTGTTCCAGTGATACAGGGTTTTCATTGATGCTGATATTTAAAGAGCAGGGTCACGATACATAATGGCAATATCAGAACAAAGAAAAGTTATGTATAATTCCACTATTTCATGCACATTGCAATCTAATATACACGATTATCTCAACCAGTAACCTGTTGTTTTATCAATCAGTGAAACAAAAATACACTGGGTTATGCTGTAGAGTTTATTATTCTTTACATTATAACATCATATATATTTAACATTAACCAGTAACTATTTTAGATTAGATGTGATGTCATTTAGGAGAATTTAAAAAGAAGGCGATATTGACGGAATATATAGGCCAACGTTTACAGCAGGATGCATGAGTTACAGTACACTAACATCATTCCACAGCAGCCACACTGGCAGGGCTGCCTGCAGATGTGTCTGCAGAAATGTTGTTTATTTGCAAGATAATTGGCCTCATAAATCAGCTGACTGATTAAGAGGTTTCTCACCAGATTGAAACAAAACATACAAATAGACTGGATCTAAATGACTAACGCTCGACCCATACAGCAGCATGTCTGTTATTATATATTATATATATCGGTTGTTATTAAAATACCAAACATGTGGAAGTATCTCCAGTAATATTGGACAGTTTTAGTGTCTCCATATTTCTGCTGTGTAATCCTGAAATTATTTGTCAGTATTTCCAGCATTTTTTTATGCTGTATATTGTCAAAATGGAAAAATATGTTTCTTTATTTGCTTGTGTTAATTTATCTATATTTATTTAATATATATAGCATTTTCCCCAAATGTTACCTGTTTAGTACAAGTGATAAAGGTATGTTGATTTTTTATGTTTAGTCTGTTGTCTTTATTGCGTTAGTGAAAATACAGAATAACTTAAAGATGAATAACTTATTCCTCTCATATCCTGTCCTTATTCCTCACCTTCCTCCACTGTACTCTGCCTAATGAAGCACCTTAAATTAGATTGGTAGGTATACTTTTAAATGCAGATAAGCATGTTGCTACATTTTCAGGCTTGAACAACAGCGGAGTACCGCTTAACCACTGTTTCATTTCAGAGAGAGGGGCCCCACCAGTCACCATGAAATCACATACACACAATAAAACAAGAATGCATGAGGTGAAAATGAATTTATTAGTTATCAACCTGTGGATCAACCTCCTACACACAACAACAAAACACATCTGAGCTGCACCACAGCGCAGTCATCGAGGAGGGTGAGTGCAGCTGGGGAGGCCTTTCCTGCTTAATGGCGCCATGTTGGAGCTTCATCTCCCCTCTGTTTGGTCGCTCACCCACCTCAGGTGAGAGTACAGTACAGGTGTGTGTTTGTGTGTGAGTGTGTAGGGACCTCTAAACCAAATACAAAAGACACTGTGCAAGTGTCAGCGTGTGTGTGTGTGTGTGTGGAGTGTGTGTTTCCCTGTGCTTTAACAGTGCGATATTGTCTCTTATCACACTCTGGCAGCGGCTGTAAATCAGTAGGTGTGCTGAGTCGGGTTGGGGCGGCTGTTGCGGCTCAAGTCAAGAGGAAGGAAAGGGTTGAAGAAAGAAAGAAGGAGGAGAGGGTAAAGAGAGAGGGGAGGTTTTGAGGGGAGCTGCTGTCTCAGTCTCAGCCCGTCCTCCTCTTAGTGCTGGATGCGCCTGATGGACTGGATCTGGGGAGTCTGACAGTGGGATCCCCAGTTCCTCCAGTGCTGGTAGTCTCCACTGTGTCTCTCACACTCCATGATGTACTGCTGGCCTCTGTAGCCAGGGTGCTGGTAGCACACAAAGCTGTGGGTGGACAGAGACGACAGTGAGGGTTAATGGGTTTATTTTAGGAGCTTTAAGTGTGTGTTATTAGTGTTCACACACGTCATTTCAACAAACTTACGCGCCGCACTGCACGTGCATGGAGCCAACTTCAGGCATCATCCAGCCCATGGCCTGCAGAGAGGGGTAGTCGTCACAGACCTCCACGCTGCGGCCCATGAAGTTCTCCCTCTCAAAGATCATCATACGACTGCTCTGGTGGGACTGTTAGGGGAGAGAGAGAGAGAGAGAGAGAGAGAGAGAGAGAGAGAGAGAGAGAGAGAGAGAGAGAGAGAGAGAGACCGTTGGGTTTTTGGATTCCTCAGGTAACTGATGATTGCCACCTGAAGAGACAGGATGTAACTCACGGCGCAGTAGATGGGACGCAGAGACATGAAGCGCTCCACATGGTAAGAGAGGGAACCGCTGTAGGCATCCCAGTGAGGGTACTCTCCTCTCTCCAGGATGAACTGCTGGCCCTGGAAGTCGTGGTGCTCAAAACCCACCCAGCTGTTCAGAAAGAGAGAGAGAAAGAACTGTTCACTTCACCATCCATCTGAATCTCATTTGATAAAATATTGTGAAGACAGTTTCTTTCAGAGGGCCGGAGCCCCTTAGGTTTATATACTGGTCTCATTTTTGTCTTGTTGAGGGAAACTTTTTTTTTAAACTTACGCTCCGCTCTCCACCCTGATGGAACGGATGTTGTCCAGTCCGCACTCCTCGATATTGCAGCACTCAGAGGTGAACTCCAGGCACTTGCCCTGGAAATGCTCCTGTTCGAACACGGTCACCTGGGGAGACGAAAGGAGTTTAGTTGGCGACGAGTTTACTTATATAGTTTCTTCGCCTTTACATCTCAAGCAGACATGCACAGATTGTATAAAGCCATCTCACATCCACCTTATCTAGTTTTGAATCATGTAATGTGTGTACAACTGATGATAACAAATGTGTTTACCTTGAAGAAAGGAGCCATGCCCATTCCTGAGTTGACCAGCGGCTGCATCATTGGGGACCTTGTAGTTCTGTACATCTTTACTCCTGAGGGGGCAAATGAGGACAGAGAGAAGGAGATGAAGTAAAAGGCAAGAAGGTGTGGAGGAAACAGTGGGAGACTCCTTAAAGTATTAATGATTCAATAATGAAACATCTTAGACTACTTTGGCTTGTTTTCTCAGTATAAAACATGACGGTGTTCAATTTCTAGTAACACCACAAATCATTTAGACTTCAACTCATCTCAGAAATCTGAACTAAAACATCTGGAGGAGGTCTGGCTGAACGCAGTTAATTAACTTTTTTTTTAAAAGGTGAAAGATGAAATACAATTCTGGTAACAATTAACATTGTCATACAGGTGTTTTTAGAAAGTGCTTTTGGTTTTCAGTTTCTGTGTGCAGCAGCTTGAGAGCGACTGTCTGTCTGACCCTGAGCTGTGTTGAAAGCAGAGATGCAGCCTTACCTAGATTGGCACTTTATTAGAAGAGCTTTGGAGTGGTACGCGCCTACCGCCTGCCTCGCGTAGAGCTTTGGGAGAACCTGGCGCTTCAGTTTTATACCGACGGTCGGGGTGCGCGCCTGCTGGTGCGCGTCCACGGCTCTGACTTGTTACCGTTCAAACCACCCATTTGGCACATCGGCGAACACCGGCAGCAAGGCGCGCTCCCGGATTCGCCGCGCGGCCGCTGGATGCTGTTGTCCGGCTCCAGCGGCCAGCTCAGCAGATCCCATAGTCTGTGCTGGTGCTCTGAAACAAAGGCGCTCCGGTATGTTCGGACCCCGGTCAGCAGTCCAGCGCGTGCCCCGGCACAAAGGGCCGGGATCGGGGTGGAGAATGTGGGGATTAACGGCGGAGCAGAGAGGCACCGCGGGGGCACACAGAAGGAGAGAACTGGTCGGGTGTGTATGGATGTAAGAGAGCTATAAGTTTCATTTTAGTCCTGCGTACACAATGGCAACTCATTGTCACCAAACGCTCTTGCGCGCGCACCTTCGAGGGTGCAGGTACACCTGCGCACATGCAAAGCAAAATCAATGGTTTCCAAAGTCCTGGAAAGAAACACCCGAAAACAATTGTTCACTCAATGCATCAATTTCTCTTCTGTTACAACACAGTGTAAACATTTATTCTGTTATAAATAAAAAAAAATCTGACATACAGATGCTGATATCAAAGATGGCTCTGTGGTCTTGTGCCTCTGTGTGGGGCTCTTCCAGCTGAAATGTTTGGGAACCTCAGACCTTAAGTGAGGAAGCATTTCTTTCAGATTTATGTATCACACATGAATGTTACTCCTTGACAAACATGTAGCCTGGAACATTTATATAGTAAAGTATAGTATAAAGTATATTTAACTTTTGCCTCCAGAGGTTAGAAGACACACATCCACAATAAAACAATTCATGTCACTGTATGCAGTCCGTTTAAATCCTGGTTCATATTTTGAATAAGTGGGTTGTTATGGTGACAGGAGAATAGAGTATCTGAAATATTAGAATCAATTACTAAGCTTTAGGGTACATTATTTACATCTAAAAGTTGATGTGAGGTGTGAACATCAACTTGTATGTATTAGCTCTATCACTAACTTCAGTTTGCTCTCCAGCCTCTCTGTCAGTCCTCCTCTGCGTCGGACCACCCCCTCTGTCCGTCCCTCTCTGATGATGTGGAGTTTCTTTTGTCCCGCGCCTCTGACCTCAGCAGGTTTGTTTCTCTGCTTATAATCCCTCTCCTATGGGCGCCAGCGTATAAAAGGGAGAGGCGCACTCCGAGCCACACACACTCTGAGTGAGGCTCGGCGTAGGCATTGCACACACAGACAGGTAAGGTACACACGCACATGCACATATTGCACGCCTGCAGGTGTGTGGAGTTACAAGACAGGAGGAAGAGATACAAAATATACACATTATTCTACACTTTCCTCTATCTCTAATACAACCTTTAATTTATATAATACCTTTACACCATCAAAACAGGTTGAATTACTCATACATCAACATTTTTTTCCCCTCCAGTAATCATGTCCAGTGGAGATAAGTCCAAGACTTCTTCCCAGACCGATGGGAAGGCTGCCCAGGGCAAGAAGTCTGAGATGGGAATGATGTCCTACAAGGTGGGTTGCTCTCACATGGGACCAGTAGCGGTTCTTGTTTATGCCACACTGAGATGTATTTAATTTATCATTACTGTTGGTGTACTGACTCATCTGTGTGCATCTACAGATGTACGTGTTCGACCAGGAGAACTTCCAGGGTCGCATGATCGAGATCAGCAATGAGTGCATGAATGTGTGTGAGATGGGCATGGACCGCGTGCGCTCCCTGCGCGTTGAGTGTGGACCGTAAGTCTCCATAAAAGATGCATTTTCACATTTAAAGCACTTGTTTTTGCGTGGATAACTCACAATTTTTTTTCCCTCCGCAGCTTCGTTGGCTTTGAGCAGATGAACTTCTGTGGTGAGATGTACATCCTGGAGAAGGGAGAGTATCCTCGCTGGGACTCTTGGAGCAACTGCCAGAGGAACGACTACCTGCTGTCCTTCAGGCCTGTCAGAATGGTAAAAAAAAACAAACACTTGGTTTTAAACTCTCACATTTCCTCTTTTGCTTTAGACCCCATCCTAAACTAGTGTTTTTTCTCTCTTCCAGGACCCCGAGAAGCACAAGATCTGCCTGTATGAGGTTGGAGAGTTCAAGGGCCGCAAGATGGAGATCATGGACGATGACGTTCCTAGCCTGTTCTCCTATGGCTTCACCGACAGAGTGGGCAGCATCATGGTCAGCTGTGGAACGTGAGTGTCTGTTGCAGCTCGAACATCAAACTCAAATGACATAAAAACCTCAGAAAGTCAACCCTATACTGACATGTTTCGTCTTTTATCTCCAGCTGGGTGGGATACCAGTTCCCTGGATACCGTGGCAGCCAGTACGTGCTGGAGAAGGGCGAGTACAGGCACTTCAACGAGTATGGTGCCCGCCATCCTCAGTTCCAGTCCGTGAGGCGTATCCGTGACATGCAGTGGCACCAACAGGGCTGCTACACCATGGCCAGCAAGTGAGGCTCAGGGAAGGAGAGAAAGAGAAAGAGCGGAAGTGAGGGAGAGGGGCGGAGGAAGAGGGAAAGGGGGAGAGATGTCTGAGGCCTTACCTCAGTAACTTAATCGGTCTATGATCTAATACAGTGAGGGGAAGGGTGAGGATTTAGATCTACCCCTGATTGGAGACAACACCTCAGTGGAAGGACCAGCTGGACCCACTCCATTCCTCTCTGTCTCTACGTTTCTCTTTCTCCCCTATGGGCTGAGTTTTGCTTTCCCCCCCTTTCTCCCTTTTTTTAGTCCCTCACTTCATTCCCCTCCACAGTCCTCTAAAACACCAAGAGAACACAAAACCTCTGGTTGTTTTACACACTCAATTCCTGGCTCAGGGTATGATGCACCATGGGAAACTGAGTCCCTAGAGCCCCCTGTCCCCTGACGTCTTGCCCCTGTGCTTTGCACTCCCTCTCTGCTGTACAGAATCCTGGCCAAGTTTTCAATAAAAAGGAAAATCTTGATTTCAAAGTTGTTGTTGTTAAAACTTATTATTGAAAAATCACCTGAAAATGTTAATGGACAAAAGTGGAAAATAAAAGAACAAGATGAATTAAAAATGTGAGATGAATCAATTTCATTGATCAATCACTGCTTTTCTGAAGCTTGGTATTTTAGATGCCAGCTGGACACAAAATATGATATCATGCTTGACATAAAACATTTCAGGAAATACTGTGAACAAGTTTGTTATATGAATAATGTTCATAGTTTTGAATAAGTGAACAAACACTGTTTCATAGTCAGCTGCAAAATATTTCCAACTCATACAATGCTTAAAAAAAGCCTAAAAAGCAATGTATAGAAAAAGAGAACAACAGGGAGCTTCAGACCCCTGATGCTGATCATGTGATATTGTGACATACTGGATAACAACAGGACACACATACAGCTCTGCAAATGTTCAGCCTTACCTCTATTCTGAATTAAAAATGAGACCATAAGCAGGTGACATATTACAGTAAAACATGACCAAAAACCTGCTGTTATTGACATACAGTCAATTAATTGAAATGAGAGTGTAAGAGTAAAAGTAATTGATTAGTGACCTGATAAGTAATTTTTCATGCTATTTGTAAATTGACTTTATTTTAAGAATATTGCTAAATAAAAGAAATACAACAAATACATATAAAATATATTTTTTAGAAAATGTATAGAATAATAACTACATTTAAATCTGAACCGTTTGTTTCTTTATTCAAACTTCTTGCTTAGAAATTTGTTTGAAGATGAGAGTGAACTCTTAATTCAGAGGTCAATATGATGTTTATTCATGCCGCCAGACTTGTTTAAAGCAGTTGGTCCTCTTAATATTTTCCTACACACTATGTTTACTTCAGGACTGGCAGTGTGTGTTCTCTATGAATCTCCATTTAAGCCATGAATCCTCTCTCTGCCCAGTCATGACTCATTTTACTGTGAATATACACGTATAAACTCCAGATTTATCCTCCTTTGGCCTTATTGGAATAATAAGCCCATTCATCTTATTATTGCACATATTTTAATTTAAAAAAAAGATTTTTACAGTTTTACAAACAAGATTTTACACTCATAGGACAAACGTTGATTATATAAAAATACATCTAAAAACAGTCATAAATGTTGTCTATAAGCTTCTGATATGTTTTACAGCTGTTCAAATACTTTATCTTTGTGTTGCACCTCAGTTCACATGTGGATGTCAGTTGCAGGCTGGATGCTATTTGTCTATACAAAGCTTGTTTTTATTTAATATAAAAATACAATTTTGGTTAAGGGCTCTTAAGAGCAGAAGAATAATGTTCACTACAATGTAGTGTGTTAACTAATCCAGCAGTTGCATAATGTCTGTGCGTCCATCTGACATGTGGGCAGCTGGACCGGTCAGCGAGACATCATTCGCACAAACTCTGAAAAGACAAGAGAGAAGGATGAGAGGGAAGAATATAAGGATGAAAGTGGTTTCCATAAAGGCGAAGAGACTTTCCTCTCACCCTCAAAGTCCACCAGACCGTCTCCGTTGAGGTCGACATCTCGGAGGATCTCGTTGATCTCTCTGTTGGTCACTTGTTCCCCCATCAGTTTCTTCATGGCCTCACGCAGCTCAGTTAAACTGATCTGACCGTCACCGTTAGAGTCAAACTGGACAGAGAGAGAGAGAGAGAGAGAGAGAGAGAGAGAGAGAGAGAGAAACACGTCTTAATTTAAATTTAAAGTCCTCCTCCACTCATATATGTATGTATGTAAAACAGGTCTGGAGGGGATCTTTAATCATATCGTGAATATACTGTGACATTTTGGGCAATGCACTAGTTTTCTGTACTGTCACTGGATGGCATTAAAGTAAGTATTTTCAAATCCTTAATATTAAATTATGTTGTGCCATGTTTGTCTGGCACGAGGTCACACCCACCCCCGACACATAAATGCTTTATCAAACAGCAACAACACAATGAAGCTCCAACACAAACAAAAGGAGGAAAGTTACATTTATTGAACTAATATTATCAGGAACAAAAACTGCATTTTCTCATTAGTTTCTGCTGTACACATGAAAATAGAGAGGTCAGATTGTTTTGCTCTCTGACTAAATCTTGTAAACCTGGATCTTGATCGCTTTGCCAGTATCAGATAACTTATATGATTTATTGTTTTTGGAGCTTTTGGTTTGTGAAATGTTATAAGTAATATCCGATTGGCACTCTTTCATTATCTCCCACCTGTTAAGTACCAATATGTTCATCCTGACCTCTTTGAATGCATCTCGTAGTTCTTTGACTCCGATCATGTCTGCTGTCTCTGCCAGCATCTTGGGTCCCATCAGCTCCACAAAGTCCTCAAAGTCCACTTTACCTCCACCTACAACACACAAATTATAGTTTAACAGATTTTATTCTTTTATTTCTTTTGCTTTTGCTTTTATTTGACAGTTGGTTGACAGTTATATATACATTATGCACCTGTTATGTTATACATTATGCACCTTCACCATCAGACTACCAGCGTGACCCAGTTTATTCTATTCCATTCTGCTCTATTCTAGTTCAACCTATTGTCCTGTATAAATCAAGCTTTCAATCGGGAAGCTAACAGGTGTGTTGCTTTAGCAAAGATATTCTTAAAACTTGTTACCACAACCGAGTAGACGGCAGAGGACCCAAAGAAAAACAAAATCCTAAAACATTTAGAGCCTAATGCCCCTTTGTGATTCAGTAATTATCTAGGATCACTTGGGGATATCAACTAAATGGAAGTTTTAGTCATTTAATTATCCCCTTTTTGTGGGCAAAACTATTTGAAATGTAAATAATACACGTGGTGTTCATATTATACTGTTTTCATGTTAAAATAGTCATTAATGAAGGATCAATATAACAGGTGACATCTTTTGAACCGTAGTGTATTGTTTTCTATTCCTGTGTATGTTCTGCTCTGTTCTCTCAATTGTTCCAGGCGGTTGTTCTACTCACAGATCTGCTGGCTCAGTTCGATGAGCTCCATCTCTGTTGGCATGTATCCCATGGTCCTCATGCACTCCCCCAGGTCTTTATGACTGATGTAGCCTTTTTTGTTCCTGTCAAACTCCACAAACGCCTCACGGAGTTCTGATAGAAACAAACAAACAAAACACGTTAATATTTGTGAGTCAGCCTTCATGTACACATGCTGTGAATTCACTCTTCACTCACCTTCAATCTCCTCTGGTCTCAGCTCTCTGTCCTGTTGGAAGAAGCAGAAACAGACATGAGCTTCTCATTTCATACAGTGCTAAACCTCTCACAACTCACAAACACTCATAATGAAAATATTTATAGAGCTTGTTTGGCATTGTACAGAAATATAAACAGTTGGATTTGAAGTAATTATTGCAGCAACACCCAGACAACCACTGAACAGGGAAGAAATGATACACAAACACAAACATTGAGAAGCAATGAGAGAAATGATTAATGGAGCTTGGCTTCATGTTGCTCAAATGCGGGGATGCTTTGAAATGTTATTTTGCTATTTGAAATGTCCATTTATTTGAAACTGTTTCATATTGAGGGTTGCATACTTCAGTCAAGTTGTTCGGTAAGCTGACAACCCCAGTGCATCTCGAAAATTAAAAACTGTCTAAATCTATATGGATTAAATTGTATACTGCATTATATTGTATATGGTAATTCAAGCACCACAAAGGGTAACCAGATTATTGGTGGCAACACACATCTGGAGATTATGAGATTTGGGAGGTTTAGTTGGTACAGAGACCCTAGAACACATGTCCACTCTATACACACATAAATACATATAGATCTCGCTCATAGCACTCAAGCTCGCCCGCAAGTCCGCCTGTACAAAAGCACACACATAATGGAAGTGGATCGGTATCTTAGAGCTTCAGAGAGAATCAGTTATGATAAATACTATGAAATCATTTTATTTACTTTGGCTGCCTTCTGCCTCAATTTTCACCCAACAAACTAAATGCCTCAGGTTCAAACTCAATTACAATATGAGAAATCCTCTAGACTGACAACAAGGGACTTTACAATGAGGCACACTGACAAAATAACTGGAATTCATTATGGTAAATTTAATATAAATACAGAAAGAGAGGTGTGATTTGCAAGATTTGAAAATTCCCATTATTCCCATCATGCACAAAAATGATACAGTGTCTGTAGGAGAACGTACAAGCATATTAACCTGCTATGAGCCCATAATGGACCTACTATTTCTTTCAGTGAACCTGGAGCCTTCAGGGGCCATTTCTGGACCCCAGGGGTTAGTCGCCCACTCTGCCTGGTCGTAAATCCAGCCTTGACCTGCATATCACTCTGTGCCACACATGTTTTAGAAGTAAGCTCCACAGAGCCAGTCAATAATTTTCCATGGAACCGAATAATCGACCCTTCTGAGCATGTGCGGTGCCAGCCAGCAGATTTGATCGTCTGACCTGGACCAGTGATGGGATGATACAGCTGGTGTGGTGGAGAGCAGTAAGGTCAGCCGTGATGATGTAAGGGATGAAAATGAATGGACACAAGCGGAAAAAGTCGCACCGGGGTTGTGTGAGGGTTTGTGTTCTGTTGTTACATACGAGTGTCTGTGAAAAGCCCTGTTTAAGGAAAACCCAGGCTGGGCCCACGATGTTGTGCAGCACGTTGCAGTTCTTCACCATTGCACCGCAGGGACTGTTGAATGGCTCATCCTCCGCGTCCTCATTCTCCTCTCCCTCCGGCTGCGGATCCTGCTGGCCCACTGCCCTCACCTTACCCCTGAGGGGCCCATCCACTACCCCCTTAGAGACCAGACCAGGCCGTTATTCCCTCTTCAAATCATATCTTTCATGGATCCAGGTTATGACCCATAGTTTTCTAGTCACACAAACACTAGGTAGAGTGTGGCTGTAAGCCTGCATTACATATGGCTATTTTAAGGCAGTCCACTCACATCAGCTATTATCCTTACTGTTAAAGACCATCTTGAGCGCAAATTTGCAACTACCATGAAAGAAATTTTTTTAATTAGATGTTTTAAAACAACCAGTGCTGCAATTTCATCATATTTCACTGTTTCCGGCATTTAGAAAAATCTACAATTATTAAAACTATTATACAGGGATTACAGTAATTAAGACAAAATGCAAAGAAAGCTCCAAAAGCTAGAACGTGTACCTCCATGTCCAAAGCTGCTGAGATGTTTTATAATCAATCACAGAACTTATAAATTGACACTGATGTAAAATAGTGTCATTTTAGCAAGTGCAAGTGAAAAGCATCATGCTCCAGTAAAACACAGTCTGACAAAGATGAGACATCTCTTACCTTCTTCATTTTTTCTTTCATGGATGCTTTGGTGCAGTTACCCATTGCTCGACCTCCCCAGTTTTCCTCCAGCTGCCCAAAATCTTTCCTTCCTCTCTTTTAGAAACTTCTCTCTGATTTTATTTGTTTGATTTTATCTCTTCTTCCCCTTTTTTTCCCGCTGCCCTCCTTTCTTCAGAGGTTCAGCTCAGGCTCGAGCTCTTAAGTCAGAGAAAACCTCTCTGAGTGTCCCATGCTGGTCATCAGTCATCTCATCCGATACCACAGAGATAAAAACCAACAGCTCTAATCCATGCATGAGCAATCCTGAATGACTCCACCCATCTCTATATGATCCAAAGTCGAGCCAAGTCACCAAACAAAGCAGCACAAAAACCAAACTAACCCAACCAACTCTGCTGAGAGCAGCAGCATCACACCGATGCTTTTAACCTCCCCTCCACACACACACACACACACACTAACACCATCACTCTCTTTCCCATCCAGTTGCTCTCATTCCTCCCTCTCCCTCGCTCTCTCGTTCAAATGTTGCATTCAAATGACTTCATCGACAGTATGAAGAGGGAGAATTAAGAGGAAGTAAACAGAGAGGCATTAATCCCTTCCACTTGAGATTAAAGGGGAAGACGGGGTAATGAAAAGAAAAAATAGAAAGGGAAAAGAGATGGAAAACAAGGAACTAAAATAGGGAGAAACTGACCTCAACATGAGTACTGTGTAGCTAACGTAGTTTAAATCCTAAAATAAAAAGATTAAACTGAAATGAAAATAAAAACATTGGGGTGTCAGTCAAATCTGAACCAGAACTGAAATTATATTTCTAAAGTTCCTGCAGCAGCTTTATCCTTTTAGTGAAAATTTACACTTTGCCGAAGATAGATAAAATGAATAAAATAACAATAGAGAATAAAAACTATTACACATCATATTAACCAAAACCACAATTTCCTGTGTATCTGCTGCAGATGTTTTGTCTTTTTTTTCTAAACCTTATAGGATGCAGTATAAAGTTGTATATGTACAACAAAATGGTAAATGTACAGTATGAAACTGGTATACGTCAGTTTTACCCACAAAACAAGAATCCTTGTGTAAACAAAATATAATTATGAAATGTGCACTAATCTAAATCACAAAACATATAAAAATAGAAGTGTATGCTAAAGTTAATATGATGCAAAAGACTTATGTCCATGCAGTCATAAATCTAGTTACAAAACATAGAATAAAAGACCAGAGGGGAAAGATAATCTCACAAGTTCCTAATTATTACTATCAACTCGGAGCTCATGTGCTCATAACTCAGCTGTCAAACACATCTTAGTCTAGGCGATCCTGTCCCACTTGGCAGGATGTAGCTGCTCGAGGTGCAAGGTGGTTTGAGCTCGCTGAACTTGACCTCTTTCATCCCAGAACTGGTTTGGGCAAGCTGTTTTAAAATGATGACAACATTTAAAATCACAAGTCTAGGTTATAAGTGCAGTGCTAAGTGGTCAGCTGAGCTTGTACAAAGCATCTGTCAACAAATCTCTCCAAAAGCAGATTTGACATGCTGCTTACTACAGTGCATCCATATGGACAGCACAGCTTCTGTGTGTGTGTGTGTGTGTGTGTGTGTGTGTGTGTGTGTGTGTGTGTGTGTGTGTGTGTGTGTGTGTATGTGTGTGTCTGTGTGTGTGTCTGTGTGTGTGTCTGTGTGTGCGCACCAGGAAGTAAATTTTACCCATTAGATCTCCAATTTTACCTTTGAATGTCTCCAAAATGGAAACACATTCTCTGCACATTATATATAAGAATGTACACAGTATGAATACAATATAGAAACATTAAGACAAGTAAAGCTAAATTGGCTGGATAGTATTATTGCTATTGATTTCATCTGTGAGAAACAGACTCAAATGAAGACAAAAGCATAAGCAGAAATGTTATTCTACTGGAACTGTATTAAAAAACATTCATAAGGCAGATTATTGGTGAAATTAAAATTGTTTCCTCTACTAGGTGAGCTACCAGGACAGCCCAGACCTGATGAATGTCTAAATAATTATTATCTGACTCACTTTATTCACTCGCTCAATGCTTTTACAGACCTCCCAACATATCTGTTTATTGCTGCCAATAAAAGCTTTGCATGCTCACACAGGTGCTTTCACTTATTCTGTCTGATTAGAGGTTGTTGCTGGTTGACGGGGAAGTCCACAAACTAACTTAAATAGGGATAGATGTACTTTGTCCCACTTTAACAGGTGCAACAAAGCTAAGAGAAGAGGGATAGAGATATCAGTCAAGCCCAGTCAATGCATCATAGTCCTGAGAAGAAGTCTAATGAGGAAACATAAGTAAAACAAACACCAGTGCGGGTTTTTTTTAAATAATTATGTGAAGGTGTAATTTCGTACAATAACTACAGTATTAAGCTTTTCACATTATTTCTATGTCGAAGAACCTTCTCAGGATGAAACATAATGATCAATTGTTGCAATAATCAGCAGTCGCCACTAGAGGCCACTTTAGGAGAGGTCTATTAACTAGTTTTATCTGACAGCTGCTGCAGTGAAGACTTCAGACAGTAATGATACCAACTGCTATTTTTAGCTCAACTCCCAGGCAGATTGAGCCGTCATTGAATGATTTGCAGCTTAAGAGTGAACACTGTAAATTAATCTTTTCCCCCGAAAGAGTTCTTAAGTAGAAACAAACTATTTGGACTTAAAAACTCTCATTGTTATCTAGCCTGCATGCAGACAGACATGAGTGCTGTTGGTGGATATAATAAGATTACAGTATCATTCTAATAATCTGATCCTCAAGTGAGAGATCAACATTAAATTTGCTTTCAGCCTGCTGCAACCTATTGTACTGCAAGTGACAGTGACCAGCCAATAAGTCGGTTATCTGTCAATAAAAGAACACCACAGAAGCAGAGATAAAATAAGTACAAGGACAGTGGACTAATGCAAACACTGATCACACATTTTAGTGTCAAAGAGATCCTATTAAGTTATTGTTTTCACATCAAACTCATCCAGAAAAGTCAGACTTTTCAGACAAACTCGCAAGCAAATTGACCACAAAAGTGTGTGTTATTATTTATTGTGTGTGAAACAGAAATCCTGCCTAATTTAATGGACTTCCCCACATTTGAATTTAAAATGTGACATCTGAAGTATAAAGTAACACATGAGGTCAGACCAGAAACGCCTGAAAACCTACACTTGTTTTCACCTGAGGGTTTGTGGGTATGTGGGTTGATAAGTTTTAAATGCTGTCTTTGTAGAATAATTAACTCATGTACGTCCTTAAACCTCTAAGACCAAAATTTTTTTACTTCAAATAAAATGACTCCATCCATCAATCAATCCAACTCATTATATACACCACAAACCTATTTACTTTTAGCAGAAATCCAATTAATGAAATCTTTCCAAATAAGCTCCATACAACACAACTTTATTCATCAAATTGAAATTGTCTTTCAGTGAGTTCCTTCACGATTCACCTTTGATGTTTGTGTGTTCAGTAAAACTGTCACGGCCGGCTGCACGAACAAGACACCACCAATAACATTAAGCCTGATTAATTACCAGACTGACTCTCTGTTACTGGTTTCAATTAATTACACAGATGAGATGCTATTGGTCTGTGTGTGAGAGTGTGTTTGCATGCACACACACTCTTATTTATGTTACTGGGTTTCTGTTTTGATTACTTTTCAATTGCCAGTCTCGAGGTATCAGCATTGAATGACTGACACACTATCAGTTAATTTTAGCTCCACACACACTTGTGAGACTAACCATGCATTGTGTGCTGTACGTGCGTGAGATGGGCAGTACTCAGGTAATGTGACTCTGTTCTTTGTTTTTGAACTCAGTGTACCCTTGTGCCTCTGTCACGAACCTGTGTGTGTGTGTGTGTGTGTGTGTGTGTGTGTGTGTGTGTGTGTGTGTGTGTGTGTGTGCGCGTGTGTGTGTGTGCACAGGTAAACTAGACATATCATGTACTGATGTGGTGTCAGATATAGATCAACTGGTGTCCAGTAACGAGGGCTGTCAATCAGAGAAAGACTAGAAGAGACAGAATAGAGGGAGCATGGATGGAGAGAAGGAGGCAGATTGAAGAAGAAGGATTCAAATATTTAAGTATAAGAAGAATAAATACAGCAATATAAAAATATACTCCATTACAGCAGGGGCAGATCTAGAGGGCTGGCATGCGGTAGCACCGCAAAAAAAAATCCTATGAGAGCCACAGTATCTGTCACAAAAATGTACACCCTAGTTTGGTGTCAAATGTTGTCAAAGCAAACACATTAATTTTGATTATTTTTTAAAATAATATGTTAAAAAACGGAAATTAACACATCATTTAATGATCATAAAACAGTTTTCATTGCATTATCCTATGTTATGTTATGTTATGTTATGACTATTAACAGTAGTGAAGCATAAACATGTAAGAAGTTGGTCATGATTGAGTGCATTTTAACTACATTATATAATACTGGGTAATTTCCTCAGTAGAAATGTATTTAATATGGTGCTCATGTGTTTTGAATTTAGAATATTTTTCTTGACAGTAAACAGTAAAGCTGACAAATAAATATAATGGAGTAAAGAATAAAGTAGCATAGGATGGAGAGATCCATAAAAAAGCTTTCTTAATTTCCTAAATAGAATCATGTTATTTGATACTAATTATAAGTAACACATGCACTATCACACACACTGGCTAATTTCCAGTTCAAATTAACCTAAATTCAGTGTCAAGATATATAAAGGACAAAGTGTGCAATAATAATTAAATAATCAATTCATATATAACAGCTTTAAACTGAGTTGTTCTTTCTCTGTAATTAGTGCAAAATCACATTATTCTTGGAATCATTCTATGAAATGAATTGAGTTCAGTGAGCTCAGCAGACAACATTCACCACAGCATATAAAGAAAAGAACAAACCAGAAACAAAACAGTGGATCAAATGTTTACCCTCCTAGGGTCAAATTGCCTCATTGTACTTCCTTTAAAACAGTTAAAACAGTGTCGCCTCCCAAAGAAGGGAGCTACTGGGTGAGAATGATTATGATCTGTAAATGTGTTCCTGGTTTGGCTATGATGTAATGTGTGTAACTGCGCTTGTTTATGAAATATCCCTTTAAGAAGATGATGAGTTTGTGCTGTTCAAGCTCCGTCTGTTTGATCTCAGATCAGTATGTGGGGGCTGAGGGTCTCTGGGAATACCACATGCTCGCTGTGTCTTTGCCTGTTATACACCAGTTTCCTCCTAAAATGCACCAGTTGTCAAAGTGAGGTTCAGGGACCCCGAGGAACCCTACGGTGAAACGAGGAAAAGATAAATCTTCTCTCCCACTCACTCAACCGTTCTCTCTTATTTTGGATCACTTGCATCATTACTGACATCACTTTTTTTTTCTTTCTGTCTTGAAATCCTGTTTCTAACCTCAGCCACACTCATCATCACCCTCCTTCAGAGTTTGCTGACGCGATCAGGTGGACTGGAAAAAAAAAAAACAGAGTGACTCATGAGCCATGCTGAAGTCCGCAGCAGGAAGCCAGTGGAGCTTTTACTGTGGCGTAATCTCTTTTGATTTTATTTTCATACACACAGAGAAACCCACCACTTTCTCACACACAATGATCCACATGTCTGACCCCAGGATGACAGATGCTGTAATGGTGTAGCCTACCGTGCCGTGTCCTGTATCACTGCTTACCATGTGAGTGATGTGATACTGAGCAGAGATACGGTGTTCATCAGATCTCTGGCTGACTATGGCCGTATCTGTTACGGATTATAATGTTTCCCAAAGTAAAGGAGTTTAAATCCTCTCAAACACACGCTATCTCCATCCTTAGCTTTAGCCCTCGTGCTTTGCTGCTTCCGCCATTTCCAGAGGGATTTGGGGGGTTAAATGAGAAGGCATAAGGGTTAGCATTTGTGTGGCTGCAGTGAACGCAGCTTTATGGCCTGTTTTGCCATGTGACACCAAGGAGGTCAGGGGTGCAGGAGAGGTGGCTATTTACAAAAAACCTGGAGCACAACCAGGCTTTAAATTTCAATTGGAGGCTTAGAGTTACAATCAAGCTGCTGACGAGACATTCAATCAGCCGGAGAGCTTGATGAGTGGCACATGAAACACACACACAAAAGTGTCAGACACACACATTTTCCACATTTTATATTTCACATTTCACACACACTGCAGCAGATGACTCCTACCTGTCCAAACACAGAGTCCACTATGGGCAGCAGGTCGACAGCCTCCACTTCTTCTTTCTCCCTCTCTCTCCTTTGTGGCCCCTCCATCATCTCCTCCAGCGTCTCCTCCAGCGAATGACTGTCCTCAGAGGCCGCAGCTGACGCCTGCAGGGTCTGAGCGGATTTCTGTTGGCGAACGGGCTGAGGTGTAGCTGTCTGACTGTCTCCAGCACCCCCTCCACTCTCATTGGTTCGCTTCTTCTGCTTCTCCAGCTTCTTCTTGATGGAGGCTTGCACCTGAGAAGGGGGAGAGCAGAGTCGATGAAGACCTGAGTCCAGATCTGTGTAACCTCAAGACTAACGCACACACCTGTAGTGTACATAGATGCAAAATATGGTGGCCAATAGTTCAAATGTCTTGATCAATACTGTCTTTGTCTACTTATATTTTTATTATTTTTTTAATTTATTATCTTTTATTGTGAAGCAATCTGATCTAGAAAGGTGCTATATAAATATACTTTACTTACTTTATTTACATATAATAATGCAATAAACATTAACATTGGTTAAGCTTGGTACAGTATGATAAGGTAATTATGGCTTGGCCTAAGATATAGGAGAGTTTTTTCAACCAATAAAGGAACATTTACAGTAATTTCTGAAAACAATCACAAGTTACTATTTCTTGTGGAACACAATCACAAATTCATGCAAATTAAATTAATATTAATGTGTCTACATGAAAGAGAATTTGTTTGTAAAGAGAGGACTGCTTGGCAGAGAAAGTTACACACAAAATTAAATTTTTCACACACAGTAAATTTATATATATGTATATAGATTCACATACCTGTTTTGCACTCCTCTCCTGTGGTGTGCTCATCGCTCCAGCACCGCCTCCTCCGGCGGACGGCTCTCGAATGAGCATGAACATCTCGGTGTCACAGGCTCACAGACACTCTCTCTCTCTCTCTCACTCGCCCTCCCCCTCCCTCACTCTCTCTCTTGCCTCTTCCCTGCTTTCCTCTCTTCTGCGGCAGCTCTTGATTTTTTTTATTTTATGTGCTAAAATAACCCACAAAGTTACCTACAGATATATGTATGTCTGTATATATATATATATATATATATATATATATATATATGTGTGTGTGTGTGTGTGTGTGTGTGTGTGTGTATGTATATATATATATTTCAGTTTCCCTCAAAAGGTGCTTAATAATTCAAGCCAAGTCCTTTGTTCCAGGGGAAAAAAAAGGCTGAATGAATGAAGGTTTTTCCAGGAAAAATAATAACTCGAATGTTCTTATGTTCCTCTTACATCCTCCTTTCTGTCCTTGTATTTCCTCCAGTTGTTTTCCTCAGTGTTGCGCCGTGCTTCTGTCCATATCTCTCTCTTGGTGCATGCAGGTGAGGAGGTTTTTATCATCAGCTGTTGTCTTGGCTCTGGGATTGAGTTCCTGCACCTCTGCCCTCACTCGCTATCTCTTGGTCCTTTACGTGACACTTTATACCTCCTGAACTTTACCTCTCTCACGTTATCTACCTGTAACACATCGACCTATCTCTCTCCTTCTCTTCCTCCCCTTCTTCCACCTTTTCCCATTCATCACAGGTAAACACTCTCCTCCTGTTGCCTGGGCGCTTTGTCACAGCTACCCTTCCTGTAATCAGTGTGTGTATATATATATATGTATTTATATATATTTATATATATATATTTATATATAATATGCTTTTCAGTCAAAATATTGTGTTTTCCTGTCGTGTATTTCTGGCATATTTCACTCATCTTTTTCTTATTGTCTTTATCTTTCCTCTCATCCTTGCGAATTTCTTGTAATCATCATTTCCCTCTGACAGTAATCCTCATTGCTCTCCATGCTTCTCCTTTTCCCTGTCTCTCTCAGTCTATCTGCCCTCAATCCCCCTGTCATATTCGGAGCCTTTGTTGTAACACAAATTGGATTCTTTTGGAGGTGCCCAGGTCAGCTTTTCATTAGGTGACAGAGAGAGATAGAAAGAGAGGGAGGGATGCAACAAACTCAGCATATATGTGATGATTGAAAGACTTTTGTTTAGCTATAACACATCACCTCAGTGTTGCCCTGCATGCATAATCTCATCCAGCAAGCATGGCTGAGCTCACACACATGCACACACAGGTGAACATGTCACCACTGCCCTCTATTTTTAGACATGCATGTTCTTTCAAGCGTGTAAACATATTATTGTGCTTTTGAGCTCTCTAAAACAGCCTTATAGCTTTGTAGCTTTTGTAAAGTAATTAATTCCACTGAAAGCAGCAGCTTTCTATAAATAAAACAACCGATCAATTTGTTTCTCCTTCTCTCTCCCTCTTTCCAGTCCAAAAGGCAAGTGTTTTTTCAGCTTTGAGTAGATAAAGAGTGTCACTTTTCGCCGTATTTTGGCCTTAACTACCTCACCTGAAATCTCCCTCCATCTCTGCCTCTCTTGCTTTCCCTCTCCTGTTAACCCGCATTAAACATTTCTCTTTCAAACTGAAACGGACCCTGATAGTGTATATTCTCCAGACTGAGGGTAGAATGTATAGCTTGACTTCTCTCCAGTTCCTAATGAGGTTTCCATTAATCACTTCAACCCCGTCATTCAGTTCAGCTCAGCCTTCCTGTCCTTCTTCAGCCCCTCTCGCTGTCCCGCTCCTCATCGATTATTGATGGGAGGGGAGAGGCAAATTCTTGAGTGGAGGCAGAAAAGAGATCCATTACAGAAAAGCTAAGTTACATGCACTTGAAGGATAAAAATAGGGGTTGTATTTTGGGAACAGATCAGTCATGTGAGACAGGTAACATGAAGGATGGATGAACAAGATGAAACGACAGAAGAGGGATGGAATAAAACTGATTTTTTTTTAATGGAGAAAGTGTAAAAAGACAGAGAAAAAACTTTTTAACTACTTTCATCAGAGACTTGTCTTTCACCTTGAACCTCACTCTACCAATCAAAGACACGGATGAATGACAGAGGGAGTGGCAGCAGAGCAGTAATGTAGAAGTGAAGGCTTGTGTTACTGCATGTTGATCGGTCTGCAATAATATCTAATTACAGATCAGGACAGTTAGAGGAGAGAGGGGTTGGACTGGACAATAACCCTGACAGGTATAGTCTTAAAACCAGCGGTCTATGGTTAATGTATAGGCAGATGACGCACAGAGATTAAGCTCACATGGATAACAGATACGTTTTATTTGGGTCAGACTAATTCTCATTATTTATTTGTTCGTAATAGTAGTCACAGATGACCAAATTGCTCAATTGGCACGATGGAACACATTAACCTTGCTTAAATGGACGTTGAAAAAGGAACACGGTGTGCTTATCAGTGACCGGTAAACACAAATCTCAAGCACAGATAATCAAATGATTATCTTGACAAATGGATATTTACTGCTATAACAATGTCACATCATGTCACAATGTCACAAATCAAATTGTCTCGCTCGTTGCTGAGACACACAGGATGCTGTTTCCACTCTATGCCTGTAATGTGAAGTTTTGTGTTGCATTATAATGTAAAATGTACTGAATCGACACCTCTCTGACACATTATCGACAGAAATATTAACATAATAAGCTCCAAAGAAGTGTATTTGTTAAAGGGCCATTTACTTAGATCACATATGACTGTACTGTTTGTACTCCCTGACACCTCTTCAGCACTTTGGAACATTTCACTCAGGCATCTCAATGCTATAATTTTTTTAAAGATTATTTTTGGGCTTATTATAACCTTTATTAGACAGTAGCAGAGAGAGACAGAAAAGTTGGGAGAAAGAGAGGGGATGTCATGCAGCAAAGGCAAGTGTACAGTGGACCATTGGTCGTCCTGGGACACCTCTCTGTCCAAAGGCTGTCAGTGCCTAATTCCAGATGTTTTAGTTCTGAATGTTTGTCCTCCAGGGGATTCAGCCTCTCCTCTTGTCTCTTTAAAAGGGTAAAGCTGTTGTGGGGTTGTGACATTGAATTAAGAACGTGTAGTTCCACCTTTAAAAAAAAGGTATGATTATTATTGTGTCTTTATTTTATATTCCTGTTGCTCTTCCTGAAGTTCCTGAAGTTATTATAGTTAAGGTTCACAAACAAAACCAACCCTCTCTTCCTCACTAATGAAATAGTGTTCGTAAGCATCTCCTGTTTCTCTCAGTTTCCAATCGCCTACTCTCCCCCCTCTGTGAGTTTCTGCCAAGTACTTTGGGGAGGCTGTGGTTCAGAAAGAAGATCAGGTTGTCTACTAATCAGTTGGTTGGCAGTTCGATTCCCTGCTTCGACTGACCAGTTGGCACATTGCATGGCAGCCTCTGCTATCAGTGTTTGGATGGGTGAATGTGACATACAGAGTAAATCTCTTTGAGTGGTCAGAAAGCCAAGTACAGTCCACTTACCATTTCCTCCTATCGTCGAAGACAGGCTTGTCGGGGTGTATTCAAGTAATTCTTCTTCTTCTCCTATTAATACGAACCACTGGGGGATGATGATGCAGAAAGTTTCGACACCCGGGTTCCTAGCCGGTCCAGCCACATCATGACCCTAATCGTTCCACGTTAGTCTCCATGTAATCAAACCCCCTCATTCCTCTTCTTGACCCCAATCATCCTAGCATACACAGCCTTAAACAACCTTCAGCTCCCATTCATCCCCCAGCAATCGACCCCTTCATCCCTCTCCTCAACCCCTAATCTTCCCACTGTACATGACCCTCATCTAGTCTTCCCAAATCCTCTCACCAATCCAAATAAACTAGTTCTACTACTACTTTGTGGCAATTTGATATTTCTGACATAGGGCTAAATAAAATTGACTTGACTTGACTGGAATACCTGATGATAAAAAAAACCAACCTCCATCACTTTTTGAGATTAAGATAAAAGTTGTGGACTGGCTTCAATATGGCATGGATAAAAGCACAAAGTTGTGTGATAAACCGGGGGTTCCCAAACTTTATGTCAAGGATCCCCAGAAATAGATCGACATTAGACCACCGACCCCCAATTTGAGAGGATTTTGTCTTAAGGAATCCCCTCTGAATATTTAGGTTTAGGTTTTGCGATTATAAAGTCTTTAAAGTAAATTAATGATCAAACTTGGATCACTCTAAATTAAAATCAATAAAAATGGCCCTATTTCCTAAGTTAAATTATTCTATTCCTCCTTTTGCGGGGGACCATCTTAAGGACCCCACTTTGAAAACCACTGATATAAACCACTGAGGAGCCGAGTGATGCTGCATTCAAAGTTAGTTTTGGGCGCCCTCTGGTGGAATCAAACAGTAGGAACAATCAGTAGGAAATTTAATCATATCATTAAAGTTTCATGTCAAATATCTAGACAGTGTTTTCTCTGGTCATAACGAAACATTTAGAAAGTATTTTAAAATTACATTTTCACAGAGTTGTGTTGGACAAATGTGGTGGTGGTGGGACACTTAAAGGTAAATGTCCTTTGTAAAGTAAAGGCATATAGAAGTTATTAATTGTGTTACATCTACTACACACATCGTTGCTTTAGATGTACAGACATGTCATTAGAACAACAGGAAACATCACAGCTATAAAACAGTAAAAAGATTACTTATATTGTTAGATATTATTTCAACACACACAATAAGACATTGCAACAAATTTAGTTAATACAATTTCAAAACCTTCCTGCAGAGACTCTACCAGTTAAAAGGGCCCTGTGGAGTTTTCTTGAAAACAAATAAAAGTTTTGTTTACATTCAGTTTTACTCACCAAAATGCAATGCATATATCATTAAGGTCTAACAACTGTGTTAAATCAAATTTGAATCCAGTTCTTTACAGTACTTTAAATCCAGCATTGTTTGAATCAATGAGCTAGCAGTCTTTCCCTTGTTTTTATCTGTGCATTGCAGCATATCTTTGCATGTTGCCGCCATCTGTAGATGAGTGGAAAAGTGTGAAATCGTGACCCACTCTGAAACAGGCAGCCACTCATGGAAAAATAGCTCCATTGTGCTTCTAGAGGTCTAAAACTCCACAGAGAACCTTTAAGTCTTTGGTTACCTTAGCAAGCAATATGCCTTACCCCTTTTCTAATGAATTCAGAACCAACACAATGTTGGAGCCAACATAAACTACAGACAATACTTGTTAGTTGGATCAATACATTGTTGGTTTTGGACTTTTCATGGGACTTGTTGACATAAAAAAAATGTAAAATATCAACCATGTCCTTTAAAGTGTTGTTTGACTTTTTAGTAGTTTTACCATCTTATTTCAAGTCTTTGAATAATACTACAGTGTATCCTGCATGTTCTGCACCATGTGTCAATGCTCATATGATGAGTCTATTTAAATTCATCAGTTACTGAATCTTCTTCAGAAGTTTTATTCTGAAGTCTGCGTCAATCCTCCGATATAAAGGACATCTATCACCAGTGTGGCGTTACTATGGTAAGTGGCTCCCGGTTGTATCCGTTGATAATCGGCCAGGGATTGAAGTACGGGAAAACAGGCTCTTTGAATTTTGCATCATAGAAGGTGAAGAGGTGGCTCATGTCTCCTGCATCATAAAACGCCACTTCACCACGGTTATAGTCCAGATAGACCCCCACCCTCCTGGGGGGCTTGGAGGGATGTAACAAGCTCTCCTCTGAGTCTGTGCATGCTTCATACTCGCTGTTGCCATTGCCGCTGTCCCTCAGCACCAGGGTCCAGAAACCATCATCAGGGCAGAGGCTGATCTCCTCCTTCCTGTTGACCGAGGCTGTGGCCACGCCCAGACCCCACGCTGTTTTGGAGCCCACCTCTACCTCCCAGTAGTGTCTGCCAGAGGAGAAAGCTTCAGAGCCCAGGACGATGTTGTAGCGGGTGAAACGCTCGGGGTTGTTGGGCAGGTTGGGTTGGATTCTTCCCACCTGGACGCTGGTGCGACAGGGGGAAACCCACAGACAGGGGTAGGCTGTGTCAGGGTCGAGGGACACCGCTGTGACAGCTTAGAGGGCAAAAATATATATATAGTCAGAAGTGCACCAAAGCAACAACTTACATGTGCTTACAGAGAGTAAATAACTCCTTGGCAGTGACCTTCAACAAGATACGGAATGCCATCTGCTCAGTTAGTGTAAGACGAGCTAGATAAGAGCATCAGCCACATGGATACAAATAAAATATATATGATACTGCGTCAACATAGAAAACTACGATGTAACTCCATAGATTCATTAAATCCAGTATTACAGTCTAGTGTTACACAATCATCAACAATGTATGACTACATGTAATGGGCAAATGACGCAAAATACAGAAGTCTTTGTATGCAAGACTTTGACCCAGTGGCAGATGTGATTAAGTTTGGAAAGCAGATACAGACATGTTTGAAACTCATGTTGTCCAACTCCACACAGAGCAGGTTGATACTAGACCGAATATAAATACAAAGCACAAAAATGCCTTTTGTAGATTTAACCAACTTTTTTTTAAAGGCTTGCTGCATATTGTGTGTATATATATATATATATAAAGGCTAGTGTATTGTGTGTCTCTGGAGGAGTTTGAAGAATTCACTCCCAAGTGGGATCTACAGTTATGTTTGGAGACTGCAATGTTTTGCCTTTGTGTGTCTTTATACCTGGCTGAAAAATTGAACTCATTTTCCTCCAGGTCCTGTATTGCAGAGGTCCCAGGAACTCTGCCGACTGCAGACTGACATTCACCTCTGGGGGGCGCTCAAACAAGCTCTCAGCCCTGACGGAGAGAACGAAAGAGATAAAATAATTTAAAGCAACAGCACAAGAGGGAAAGAACTAATCTTTACTGGAGATCAACATTCTTTGTGGCTTTATTTGCCCATAGTCCATCCTTTCACGACTGTAACAACTGTATCTTAATGTAAGAAGTAATTTAATGCAAGTTGTAAAAGATGTAACTTATCATTGTGGTCTTATTATTCTGAAATTCAAATAACTACGAATGTAAAACATTGTAGCACAGAAAAAGGAATCATGGAAAATTCCCTTTTGTTTTACTTGTACAGCATGTTGAGTGTGGCCTTTAAGCCAAATGTTTATGTTGTATCTACATTCTTAGCTATGCCACCTATGAGGAAATGAAAAACAAGAAAAAACCCCTTTAGCCTCTCAGTTTTAAACTGTTTTAAACTGAATGAATATCAGATCTTCAATGACACTTAGACAGTTTCTTTTCATGAACACGTTCTGCTTTCCTGTGTCCACCAGCTGACAGTAAGTGTGAGGTAAAGATGGCTCGATCACAATTATGATCCCACATCCTGTTTCGACATGACATTCAGTTAATTACAAAACAACATGCCATTGTCTTGTGACTTTTAAATTAGGGCAAATAAGGGCAATGTACAAATAGAAGTGGGGAAGGCCTAGAAACAAATAAATAACTCAATAAGAAATTACTGCTGTTCAGTGATCTTGATATGATAAAGATGATACTCACCCTCCAATGAAATCTTTGATTCCCTGAAATAGAGCAGATAAAACCACCCTGTCATTACAGAATACTTCAGTCTCGGCTGCAACATTCAGAAAATATCTCTGACACAGAAATATTATTTGGTATTTGTAGGCTGTGTTTTCGTACTTTTCTTTCAGTCTATATAGGCTGACAGAAAGGTGCCATACAAGCATCATGAGCATTATCCATTCATCATCTTCCTCTTCTCTCTCACCTTGAGTTGCTCTGGGTTTTCTTCTTCCCTCAGTTTGAGGCAAAGCTGGTCAGCCGTACTTTCCAGTTGGCTGATTTGCTCTGTTGTCTGAGTGAGTGCCTCCTCCAGCTGGTTGAGCTTCTCCTCTTTCTGCCTCTGCAGTTTCTCCTTTATGCGTTCCTCCTCCTCGAGTAGGAACTCCCTCAGACGACCAAACTCTGCCGTGACCAGCTCCTCCAGATCCCCTGCTCGCTCCTGAAACACAGTGAGACCATGGAAGAATGTGAATGTCATGTTTCAACTCTGCGCCAAAATAAAATCATTTTTAACCATTAAATTAAACTAATTTGTATTATTTTTTTAATTTACTATAAATTGCTGTGTAGCATTTCGTTGCTGAAAATGTCCAATGACGTGTTTCTATTTCATACAACCTTATGTGTGTTACTAAAATCAATACTGAATCTGTCACCTGAAGTTACTAAAAACCAGGGGACTCACCCTGGGATTTTCTGGCCTTTGTAATAGTATAAGAATATACATTATACAGTCAATGTATAAGTACTCAAGTACTTCATTTAAGTATTTCCATTTTATGTTCACTACGGTTCAGAGGGAAATATAAATATAAAATATATAGAATATATAAAATATATATATTTTATCTATATATATATATAAAATATATAGAATATATTGTTATTCCACTATATTTATCTGCAGCTATAGTTACTTTAGTTAGTTAATTGGTTAAATTACACACACCTCATCCAACTACAAGATTAAAATGTTATTTGTGCATTCATAATCTAAAAATATAATAAAGCCTAGACCTATTTTTCTGCACTGAGTACTTTCACTATTATATTAAGTACATGTTGGCCTTGCAATCCTGTAATAATTCTGAGAGACATTGCTGTTTTGATTCCATGCATTCTTCTTCCTTGTCAAAACGTGGCGCCTAGATTACACAATACAACCTGAGGTATGTTTGAGTAGAGTGACTGAACAGCTGTTTTTCTCATCTGTATTGGTGAATTTAGGATTTATTTCAACCAAAGCGGAGTATGTGATTGTTTGAATAGCGGAAAGACTAACAGATACTGTTTTATGAGTTATATTTTGTTTCTGACCTTTTTGAATGACTTTACGATGTTACAATAATATGCAAGCTAAAATTACAATTGTCTCTAGAATATGGCGAGCGCTTGAAATATAATGGCTGTTTCTGGATAAGCAAAAGGTCTATCTCTGTAGGGATCATTTCCTTTATGATATCAGAAACAACAATCTGAGCCTTTCAGTGGCAAAAACCAGCACTAGTGGGAATACTTTTACAGGTGCCTTAGTCCCTGAGGATTAGTTTACATTGCAGCCATATTGCATGTCTTATATATATTTTCACATCTAACTCCACAGATTAATTATTTTCAACCAAACCAGTGTTGGTGACTGAGGGAAAGATTGTGGAAAGACTAACAAAGACGGTTTTGTCAAGTTTTTTTTGTTTCTGTCACATTGTTTTGGTCTGAGATGTTGGAGTTCCAGTGCGTCATCGAGTGGAAAGTTAGGGACTCTAAGTTCTTTTTAATATTGGTACTTTTACTCACAGGATAGGAATACTTAGTCCATTCCTTCAGAGTATAATCCTAAAATATGTGAAGGTAAAATGTCACAGTAACACACAAACACACACAAACACACGCACATGCACACACACACACACACACACACACACAAACACACGCACACACATACACAGGAAGATAGATTTGCAGGGAAAGAGAGACTGACAAACTTCCTCTCAACCTGTTCACCCACATCCTGTCTTCTGACGTAGAAACAGAGAAGTGAAAATCTGTGAATGTGCACATAAACTGGGTCAAACAGACAGACAGCGGAGTATAGGCACGCTGAGGCATTCAGACAGACAGGACAGAAAAATACAGTTTGTAGTAGCCCAGAGCAGAGATATATGTGTTTATCTGCTCCAGCAGAAACTCTCCAACACAGTAAACATGCTACGCTGATATCTGTTTAACACAGACACACACACACATACATACACATACACATACATTCATACACTGACACACTAACACATATACATACACATACACATACATACAGACCTCTATTTGAGGTGAATGCTGCTGTGGTGGAAAAAGCTGCCAGCTGTTATCTCTTTCTGTGAGGGTGTGTGACATACAAGCTATTGTACACTACATGCTGTACATTTCTGTGTGAGTGTGTGTGTCCGTAAAACAATAGAGTGTGAGAAAGACAAACATGACATGACGTGTATGAATGTTTATTATCTATCTCATTTGGGGAAGGACCTCAGCATGATAATCCTCACGTCCAAACAAAGCTGAGTAACAACCTGTTGTGTCACCACCAGTCAGGTGAGTCACTCGTCATTCACGGTGGTCAGACAGGTAAAGGTGGAGGAATGCAGGTGGATGTCGCTTAGCTACCAGAATTTCTGGTTGTCATTCACAGGACACACACAGGATGTTCAGCATACTTCGTTTCTTTCTTCCAGACACAAAAAATACAACAAGTACACTAATACCTTAATGAGGAGGATCTTCTCATTGGTCTGCCTTTGGAAGAGCGTGGCCTCCTCGCTCTGTAGCTGAGTCCTCTCGAGAGCGACAGACAGCTTATCCTGTTGATAGGCAACAAAAACTGACAATCACATGCAACACATGGTTAAGAGGTGGTGTCGCTAAACCAGATTATGCTTAAACGAAGAGTTAATATGATTGGTGCCGGCGCTCTGAACAACAACATCATCTTTGATGGGAGTCATATGATGCCCAACTGAACTTCTCCAACTGAATGCTCTGACCCACAAATTCAAACAAAATAGGAATTCAGCACCAGTAAAACAGAGGGGCCTCTCAGGACGAGTCTCCAAACAGACTGATGATGTTCAGCTGCAAGGTTTAACGGGGGGGGGTTTCACAGTTCACAAGAGATCACAGTGGCCTGCTGCATTCCTATAAAACACAAAGTTCCCGAAGGCTTCCTGGGCAAACAGGGAGTCTGCTTTTAAAACTGCCATGTGGCATCAAATGTTCTGTCAAAGCCCTGTTTTTTTACAGCCAGATTTGTTTATTTAATAAATTAAAGCTTAATAAACTAGGTTTATTTTGACTTTTAGAAAGTTTGTCAAACTTGAGACACTACACTTCTTTCCAAGAACATGGAGAGGAGTGTTTAATGAGCTTGTGGCACTCCCTAAAACGTGACAATGAACCGGGCTACATTTGAAGACAAACAGAAAGTGTGTATGAACTGAGATTTGGGGGTATTACCTTGAGCCTAAGAAGATTAAGGTTTATCACAAATGTGTTTAAACTCAGTGAGAGCGTAGGCTACCTTGTAGTTTTCAAAGGCCTCTGTGATGGGGATGACATTGTGGGTCTTGTGGTCCCGGGACATGCCGCACACCAGACAAATGGGCAGCTGGTCGTCCTCACAGTAAAGCTTCAGCCTCTCCTCATGCTCCTCGCACATATCCATACCCATACCCAGGCGCGGCCAGTGCCCGATGGAAGAGGCCACGCTGCTCATACTGGACCCCGGCTCCCGATCCTCCGGCTCCTCCAGCGCACCCTCCGGGTCCCACACGATTATCCCCGCGGCTGTGTCCATGGCCCGGGCTCTGCGCACACTGTCCACGACGTTGCACAGAAGCGAGTTGGGTCTGAGCTTACGGCCGCACGACTTTCTACACTTCGGGCAACTCGACAACTCGTCCGCCTTGGCTTCCCAGCACTGGATGATGCACACCTGGCAGAAGTGGTGTCCGCACTCGAGGATCACCGGATCACGGAACAGCTCCAAACACACCGGACAGGTGAGCTCCGACTGCAGTTCCTCAAGAGCGTTGGCCTCCGCCATTCTCGGCTGCGCACATAGTCCTCGATAAAAACACGTCTGATGGCAAAACTGTAACGAGTGAAGACTAGACTTGCTCTTCCGTTCACACTGAGAGAGGGAGTGGTCTGAAGCTGACAGCGCAACCCAATGTTTTCACGGAAGAGACGGAGGGCGTGCAGCAACAGGCTCTGCGCGCCGTGCAGCCCGTGGAGCTGCTCCATTACAGGGCGTACGGATCTTATTAGCCCCGAGACAAACAACTTTATTTAGAAAAACCATAACCAAAAAAAACACTCAAATGTTACTTGATTAAGATAATAATGTTAGGCTTATCTCATAGCGTTTCATTACTGAGGTAGGCATGTACAGGAAATGTAGACTGTTGGTTTACTAATGCTTTGGTTTTCAAACAGGGGTCCGGGGACCAACAGGGGTCCTAGAGTGGGTTGTAGGGGTGGCACAAGTGGGGCACTGATGTATGCAAGGGGTGGCATAAAGTGTGTGTATCAGCTTTAGAGTCATTCCTAATTTATGCAATTACAATATTGTTTAGGGACCCCAGTATGCAGAAATATTTAAAGTATAACGTGGGGAGAAACTTAAAAGGGGAAACATATGTTTAACCATCATTCAGATGTCTTGAGGTTAAAGGTCATGTGAAGGGATCCCTTTGAAAATGGCCTTGCCAGTTTTTCCATCCACAAAATGTGTCCTAACATCCCAACAGTACCAATATATGGCTACAGCCTCTGAAAGACGATGTGGCGTGAGAGAGGTAAGGAGAATGGCGGCACTTGGAGTGGCCAATCAGATTTCAGCGTGGCCAGTTGAGAAAGGGGAAATGAAAGAGAAATTAAATTGAAATTGTGGCTTTTTCTTTTTAAATTATTTAAACCAGAGGTAAACAGGGCTTCACCAGCTGTTCCTACACTGACACTTAGTTGCATACATGTTTACTAAGTGCTAAAGAACAAACTAGTTCTTTACATAGAGATTACAATTAGTAGTGAATATTTACACATAACTGGTTATTGCCAGGTGTACATAGCTTAACTGTTGCATAACTGACTGAACCAACTTGTATGCGCTTATGTTTAGGTTGAAGAGTTATTATTAATAACACATAACATGTTTAATACTGATGTAAACATGGAAGATTTTAAATTACATTTACAAATATAAAAGCAGTAAAACCAATAACGTTCCACAAAATGATGCAATTAGGCTTAAAAGAGGCTAACTGGTGCAGGCCCACTCATATTTTTCATCATGTACCCATAATTAATAGTAATACCTGACCACATAAACGATTAGGTTAGTTTATAATTCCCCTAGAGCCATTATTTTTTGGAAGTTCTTATGCTAATGTGAGTTGATTGCCTACAGATGTTTCTTAGCTAGCCATTTTACACATTATTAAATTATTTACTTTAACCATTAGGTTACATGGGATTTAAATAAATGTTGATTTCTATTGTATGGTGTTTTTATATGTCTGCTTATGTCTGGTGCCTTATTTGTTTTTATTGTGAAGCACTTGACTAGGTGTATGTGTACTATATAGATAAACGTATTTACTTACTTTAGTTGTGCAACCTGATAACTTACTAGTTTGAAGTTATTGAAAACTCAGTATGAACATTACACACAAACTTACTAATAGCAGGTGCAGCTCATTCACTGATAAACCTTTAAGCAAATAGCACGATCACTTTGCCTTCAAATTGTTATCAAGATTTGCTACATACTTAGGCCTACATGTGTCCTAGGCTATTCATTAGCATAACTCTTATGTAAGAGGGTATTAGGAGAGCATAAAAGGGAGCTTTAAGTATACAAACATATTTCAACAAGTAGGCTACGTGAGCCACGTGTTCAATACTAGTTTCAAAACACAACCAACAGCAGTAACAGTAACACAAAAGAGGGAAGAAGAAGAGAAACTAGCTGACACAGAGTCAGTCATTAAAGGGATGTACTCATATTAAAGAGGTGGTTCGAGAGAAGGGGAGGGGGCTATCGTTTTTATTTTTTACTTGCATTGGCATTGCTTTTCAATGTCAAGGTGAGGGTTCAACAGGAAGAAAGGCCAAATAAGGATGAAGAGGGCCTCACTTTTTACTAATAAAATGACCCACCCATTTATTTTTGTACTGTCCCTAAATACGGCTCAGCAACTCTCCTCTGTGTGGAAATTGAAACTGTGGTAAATCCTGGTCATCCACAGGTTACGACCCGTCACCAGTGACGGTAAATGCAGCGTTATTACTCACATTTGTTTTTTGTGTGCTGAATCGTCAGGCTGCTGCCAAGTGTCATGTCTCTGAATATTCACTAGATGGCCTTATTAAACCACCCACATCTAAAATTTAAGCTTCATATAGTATTATCACTGATCAAATCCTGGAGGCCAATTGTTCAGGCACTGTTCATTATTGTTGTATTTTATATGCTGAGGTTATGATTTATGCTATGAATTTATAATTATGTCCAAAAAAATCGCCGGCAGGGTTTATTGAAAGGAGCAAGATTTATGATTTTCACTTTCAAGAAAAACTAATCAGCATTCACAAATTAGACTTAAATAAATATAAATATCTAATCATAATATAGGGCAAGGGGGTGTTAAGATGAGTCTTTACTTCAAGAGGATGTTTAAGCTAAAATCTCCTCATTAACTCAGTAGATGATAACCATGATAATTTGGGGTCACTCAGACAGGTTAGGGTTAGTCTTAATAAATGAAATACATTAGGGTGGGCATTAGTTTAAAATTAAGTAGAAGAAGTTATAGCAGGGGCAGGACAATGATATCAATATGTGTTATTAAAAGTGGCTAATGTTACATCATTTCTTATTGTAATGCTTAATTAATAGGCTCCCAGACACATTTTTATAACTATTGAATGATTTACAAGACAACCAGCGTTTCTTTTTACTATTCTCTGTTAATAACTAATCAATCACACACATCCATGTTAAAGCATGCAACATCTTTTAATGGTTAAAAATGATCATTGTGTGAATTCTTCTCACAGATCACTGTGCACAAAGCAGCAAAGAGTGCATCCACCAAAAGGTGTGTTCATGAGCCCAGAACATGCTACAGTGACACATTTTACTACAGTCCTATTAAATACTATAATATATATACTACTATATACACCTCTGGCCTTTATTTGTAGCATTCATCATTCTGTTTTTCCCCATATTTACATTATTTCTACAATCTAACAAGTCCTAAATACAGTGGAAATATAATATTCCGACAAATTGGAGCAAGACAACTAAAATTGAGGAGTTTTCAACTTGCAGCACAAGCACTTAAAGAAATAACTTCTGGTAAATATTTCTGGTTCCCACAATGAGGGAAGTTTTGATGAAGAAACACAAAACAACACAGAAACTCAACCAAGACAGAAAATGAAACCAGCTGACTGGCTCAGAGGAGTGTGCTTGTGTATTAACTATTAATTAACAAATAAATGCCAATAAACATCTGAGGAAGAATAACAATTTCTAGATACAATGTGTATATCACAAGCATCTCACTGCAATCCATTCAGAGCTCTGCGTCAGGCAATGTCCCATGATTATTCACCTTTTTAGACAGTGTGAGAAAGGTGGGCACAAACACTCTGCAGGGACATATACAAGACAACAACTACAACAACAACAGCCAGCAACCATAAACTGTATTGGTGTTTTCAGTCTGAATGTAGTCAGAATGTCTTGTGTGTTATTGAACCCGACTGGTGTGACATGAAAAGGACCCTAGCATTAGATCTGGAAGATATCAAAGTAAGATACAAATATTCTAGTCAGGAATAAACAAATGTTCAGCTCAGTCTTGATGCTCAGTTTAAGATGTCGAGTGAAGCTTCTTCTTTCTCACCTTGCTAAAATCACCAAATGATTAAAGACTTGAAACAAGATGGTCTCTACCTCAATTGATTGATTAACAAAGCATATGCATTATTTACCAGAAGGGAGCCTCACTGCCAGTTAACAGGGGAAGTTTGCAAGGAAATGGGGGTTTCTGCTGTCAGTATATATAAGAGGAAACACAGTGACAGCCAACAAACGTCTATACTCCAGACGCTGGACACAGAAAACACAAAGGACACAAAGGAAATATAGGTTTTATTGAACTCTGAGGCTGTGTCTGAGTGGAAGTCTTTTTAGCAAGTGTATATAAGACCAGCTTGCTGCTCTGTTGTGCAGGATGTCTCAAAGGAAGATGCTGCAATTCTCCATGGGAGCCCTGTTTCTCCTACCCTGGTTTGGTGGACTGGTCCTTGGAGAGATCAGCAACGACTTCTCCCAGTGCCTTGATGTCTTCTACAATAAAACTCCACCAATGGGTATCAATGCAGCAGGATACCAACCAATATGCCAGCGCTTCAAAAACCAGTACCACTTTGCCAGCTTGTATCACCGTCAGCATCGTGCACCATTGTACTCTGCGTACATACTCAGTCCTGCAGATGGCAAACGGCCCAATACCACTTGGATGTATGAACCACAGGTAAGTCGGAAAACAGTGTGTGTGCTCAAGAGCAGCTATTTTCTTTAAAGACTGGCAGGTGTCCTTATTATTATTATTTTGTCAACCCCATTTATATCAATGAGGCTATGCTACCTATCTGAATAATGTAATACAATCCAAGAGCTTCACAGACTACAGTTTGAACAACAACTGAACATTATAACCACGACTGCAGGCTTTATTAAAGGACTGTTGTATTAGACTTAATTTTAGCTAGGTGTACCTTAAAAACTGGAAAATAACCATATAGCAAAACTCTTCCTTGGTTATTTTTATTCTGCAGAAGAACATCACCTCCTTTGGTTCAGTAAATTCACTGGTGCTCATCTATCATAGTATTATTATAGAGTTAAGTGTGTCTAAATAACTTTCATACAGCAACAATGTGACAAGGAACAGTTGAAGTGTCTGATTAACTGAAGTCTAATGGCGGTTTTGCATTAGGAATTATTTTTTTTACATTAGCTTCAAGCAGAAGCAGAAGAACAATCTCTCAAACTGTAAATACAAAATAATGCTGTTGCACACATTTTCTCTGGTAAGGTAACAAAGAAAGGTCATACATATCATGTGTTT